GGGGTCGACGGTAGGACTGGGGGACGAGGGAGGGTAGTCGAGAGAACGGCGGGGATAGGCCAGATGTCCACCCTTTCGTGTGACACATCGCTGTCGCGTTTTTGAACCGAGCCGGCTCGTGCGTTTTGGTTAATGCGACTATCTATGGACACACGCTTAATTGCTTTAATTAAAATTCACGTTACGCGCCGCGACGTCGCTGACGGCGGACATCGTCGACGTATGCGTGCAAGTTTACTCGCCGGTTGGCGTATTTCCGTGCGATGAAATAGCGGGATTCTCTACGGGAAAGAACGAGCAACGTGTTCTTAATATATCTTCAAAGAAATTCGTATATATCTCTGTAATATTTATCGCGTAAGTTCCAGCTTCTCTGAGCTGCGTAAAAGAAAGTTAGTTTTTACTAAAAAACTAACTTTCGTTAATTTTTTTCTAACTACGAGATGGCACTTGCTTCATTATTCTAGATCATTATTATAATAATTGTATATATGTATATTATATTACCATTTCGTATATGAAATGTGATTCGAGTTTTGAAAACGATTAACAGCTTATATATGCAATTTCATACTTTTATTTATTTGTAAATACGGACGAAAAAATATCCAGTTACAATATTTTCATAATTGGTGGTCCAAGAAACAGTCGTCGGTTATAACCCAACTGGCTATGATGATCATGCGAATATCTTGATGTGAACTTTTTGGGGTCATGGAAAACCGAACCGATCTTCCTAAAAATTTTAAAATACGTGCGGGCGAACAATTCCCCTTAGAATTCCGAAAGCGAGCAAGCGAGAACCTGAGTCTCGCGCGGTAACTTCCTCGTAACTTCCTCTCGAGCGGCGTATACACGTGTCGGCGATTCGTTCTCCGAAAATTTCGCCGCAAGGCCGAGAACGGAAAATTTTTCCCCATTTTTTTTCCTCACCCACTAGAAAAGTCAGCGGGGCAAGGTGGGTTAAATTCGAGGGTTTTCCATGGCTCGGCGGTACCTCGGTTTGATAGTCGGGGTTGGACGGTAGCCACAAGTGTCCGCCCGAGCGCCCTCTCTCATTAATTCTCCACCCTTGTTACTTGTTAAGGTAGGGCTGCCGGCTCTCTCACCCTTGCCCTCTGGCCTCCGCCATACTCGCCCCCGTCCTTGGTTCTGCGACCCGCTTTACTTCCCCTGTCGCCGCCGCCCAGAGCTGCCACGGCAGGGTGGAAACGCTTTCTCGAGTGAGGGGGTTGTGTGAGGGTCGGCGCGAGTGAGGGAGTGCTCTATCCAGAGGGAGACGAAACAGAGAACGGAGGGCGGGCAGCCTTGAAGGGGAGAAAAAGGCGGGATGACGGGTAGAGAGCGCGTGAGAGGAAAGGGATTGGAGATGGGCGAGAAATACGGAGAGGAAAAAAAACACGCGAGGGAGAGAAAAACAGAGATGGGCCGATGGATTTGCCCATGGAGGGTAGATAGGTATAGCCGAAGGGAGCAAAACAGGGCAATCGGCGGGCGCCGGCGAGTGCAGATGTATTATGTACACCCGCTAAGTGGCCGATGCAAATCGAACGTCACCGTCGGACGGTGGGCGTGCACGTGACTGTAAACGAGCCGATTAGCACATCGTTTCTCTTATTCAACGCCTTTTCCAAACGGATCGTGGGCCGATTTTCATTTTCGAGAGAGAAGAGGATTTTGAACTGTGGACTTTTTTGTATCGTCACGCTAATATTCCTGTCCTCTCATAAAGTTATGTTATTAGTCGTTAGCTAATGAAGAAAAACGTACAGAAAAATGTGACATAATTTCAACATATTCTAGTTGTCCAGTTAAACAAAAATATTATTTTGTCACGTACTTTTAATCCAAATCAATCAAGATTAATATTTGCAGACACGCTATTAAGTGAAATTGTAAAATTAAAAATTGTTTACTCATATTTAAAGAATGATTAAGGATTATTCTTTAATCATTAATTTTAAATATAACTTTTATTTAAATGACACGTTACTCTATTTCTCAAATATTTACAATTTTGCAATCTATATTTTTGATCACAGATTTCACACAGAATCACACAGATTTCATCACGTGTGTCGTTGTGAATAAAAAAAAGTGAAATAAAAAAAATCTTTTTCGTAGTAATGTTGCGAATAAATCGATAAATGTATGCACTTTCATCGATAACGATCTACGCAGTATGTACCGCAGCGTCGAATACGACTGTCCCGGATGCGGTCCCGCCGGACGGTGCAACATCCGCGCACGCAATGAGAGAACCGTTCCCGCCTTTCGAATAACGCGACTACGAATCTCACTTTCGATGCCGTTTCCGAGGATCGTCACCGCCACGATCGTGTTTCCCTTTGTTTGTGTCTGGCCGACGTTGGCGTCTCACCTGTGTCGCTCTTCGACTCATCGCGTGTTTCGTCTTCTTTTTTGCACCTCTCTCTCTCTCTCTCTCTCTCTCTCTCTCTTTCTTTCACTTCTTCTCTTTCCGGAGGGCTCTTTCTTCTCCTTCTCCTTCTTCTCCCCCTTCCCCATTCCCTCCACGCGCACTCCGACCAAAGAATCACCTCGGGGATATAGCATCCGGTCCGGCGGGTTCGAGAAAAAGGACTGGTCCTGTCCGGGCGGGCTCCTTCCTCCTTCATGCTCTCCGTTATCGTCACAGCTATCTCCCAACCAGGTGACTCTGACCTGTCGAGTCCTCACACGTGGAATGCCTAGGATTAAGCCCTTTTCGGAGGCCAAGAGACACGTAATGCTCTCCTCCGCCGTCTTGCCTGCCCGGCGACGACAACGACGGTCGATCGATCGGATCACCGAAGTCTTGTAAGAGAGGGCGGGTGGGCGGAAGAAGGGCGGGACGCGTATGTCTGGAAAATGTGATCGGAATCGTAACAAGGGGTCCTACCGTTGGGTTCCTGATGTCGCGAACATGCGGCGCGTTCAGAATCTTTGTGTCATTACCGAGTAAAAAATGGTCCGGCGGTTTTAGCTTTCTACTTTTAACTCTCTATGCTCGTAGCATCCTCGAGAACTTGTAAAGAAGGCCTGGCGAACGCCATATTCGTCAAGTTATCTTTCGCAAATATGTAGATAATTTATCCACATATGGTTATATCGGATAAAAAAAAAGATTTTGACGTTTCACACGTTTTCGAGATAATTGGAGACTTAAAAGAGGGACTTTAAATTCCCTTAAAGTCCCTCTTTTCGTTAACGAGCTGGAGGATATACAGAACAATATCTATGAAAAAGCGATACTTAGCAGTTTATACTAGCGGGTATTTTTGTACGCGAGTTAAACGATCTTCACAATTGCTTAAAATATTTTCGCAGCATTTTACGCCGCGATACGATTACACGCTAATGACTCGCGAGCAGAAGTTTCGCGAGCGCGATAAACGTGGCTTGTGTATACGCTACATTTAATACGAGAAATATGCGGACGTGCGTCACGACGGTTTTAATTTCGTAAAGCTGCTCGCAATTAAGCGCAGCCGGAAGTTCGATAATACCTGACCGGCCCGCTTCGAGGAGAAAACTGCTGCTTCCGAAAACCGCTTATAAAATAGTGCCGTAAAGAATGGATGTATTGTGCAGCCATACGGCGTGCCGTCACAACATGTTTTTACGATAAACAATTATCGGGAAACGTCCAACGGATATCCAACTTTCCAAGTTACAGCTCGCGAAAGCTCTCCGAGAGCTAACTCCGTCTAAATTACTTCCCTTCGACTCGCTTATGGCTGTGCAAGTATGTCATCGTCGTCGTCGTCGTCGTCGTCATCGTCATCGTCGTCGCGGGATAAGTCGTCTTCTTAACCAGGTGATATTAATATTCCAGACGATCGTGCCTCGTGGTGGAAATCACTTATCGTCCAACTCGTTTTAATATCGACGCTCGACGAACGCGTATCTACGTACGCGCACTTTCTTCGTCACAATTTTCCAATTAATATCGCTAATAGCTGGAAGCAGATAGAGTGCCGGCTATAAAACGGCGCGGCAAACCGCATTTACGGTGAGTCTTACATTTATCTATTCGATCGTTCGAGGCGAGCGCGACGTTAAGGGTTTTATATTAAGTCGTTCTCACAAGTACATTACGTACAAGTGGGTTCTCAATTGCGATGCGAGATGTCCGAACGGCGCGCTGCCTGCCGTAGAAGCGCTAATTTCGATCGTAAAACATGTCGTCGCTTTTTCAAAAAATGCGAACGCTTTATAGCTGTCAATCCTTGATCGTTAAAAGTCCTCCATACGAAATACGGGACGCTCGACCACCTACATGGACGGACGGATGCATTAATACTCTCGAAAGCGAAGGGAACTGAAAGATTCCATTAATGATTATCGGCCATGTCTGAAAACTGTTAGAAGTCGTCGCAGCTATGCGACTTTTGAATATCGACATTTAGTCTAAACATGTTTTTTGAGATATAGGATATTCTATTTCTCCTTTGCACGTTGAGAAGATTAATGTAATTATGTGAAATAAACACAGATAGATATTACTGTTTATATTTAACACACATTATTGAATGTAGGAAATACTTTCTTTTATTATACCTGCCGATATTCCATTACATAGTCTTTTTGATCTCTTGATACAGATATGTATAGGCACATTACAAATTATTTACAAATTTATATTGTTATCACATTACCATTTTATTACTATCATTATGCGCGATCGTAACAATTAAAATAAACATTAATATTATTACACGTTACACGGAGATATCGCATTACACCGCGAATTCAATCGACATGTAATGCGAAAGCGCAAATATGTCGGACTGATTCGCGCGAGTCCCACCACAGATGAATGGATCGCGCTAAAGCCTCTATTATTAGCAGATGGAAGATTATATCGATTTTTCCCTGTAGCTCTGGCCCCCTTCTTCCTTCCCATCACCCTCGCGTTTACCCTTGGCCGCCACTCCCGCAGGGCGGCCCTTCCGTACTTTATGCTCTAACAAACACATCGTGGCGCTGGCAATTACGCGATGACGCAGGACGGCCTGCAGTGTTAATTAATTTCTAGCTCGCTAATCACGAGCCTTGGTCGAGCCGGGAGTATCGTTTCGTACTTTCTTGTTGGCAGGAAGATAATCCTAGCCGTGGTGCGCGATTCTCTTTGGCGTTATCGATCACCATTCTTCCCTTTTTTTTGCTTTCAAGTGTCTTTCGTCTCGAAGTCCTTCGCGTTAAAAGACTCTGTTAACGATGTCAAAATATGTGAATATTTTTAGTAATTGCAAGTAATATTATATATATATATATATATATATATATATATATATATAAATAAAAAAAGATGTTAAAGTTGGATAATGAAATCATAATGAAATTTTTTCCAATATTTTCTCTGTGGAAAAATTACAATTTAAAAATTCAAAGAATCTGCAATTGCGCAATAGACTTTATCGTGCATAATTATACATTAATAATTTTCTAAATGATCCAAAACTATTTATTTGATATCCTTTGCAGTTTCATTGGAGAGAAAATTCAAATATCACGAGGATATTTATTACGTATATACGTATTCTGTGGATGTGAGCACGAATTTGGGCTATCATCCGCTATCATCCCGTCATTCGAAAAATGATTCGGCTTTGCACATCGACGCTACTTTGTCCGTGCATTTTAACAGTCCCTGCGAGGGTACCTTGAGGATCTTGAATGCCAGCATCAGTCATGATCGCAGCACGTACAACGCCGAATTTCCAGATCATGCTGGCGCCGAATTCAAGGCCAACCTCGAGCGTCATGCATTAAGGTTCACCTTTGACGACGGTCTGATCCACGAGCTTTGCCCGGACCGGCATGAACCAGTCTGGGCACTGAATATCAAGCGAGGTGTCCTGTCGATGCTGCAGAATAGCATGCGGCGCTTCGATGTAGACCATCGTGGCGATGAGATGGACATTCATGGCACTTGCGACACCCACTATCGCCTGTTTGAAGCCAAGAAGACCAGTCTGATTGTAAAGAAGAGCAAGTATCTGGCTGACTGCCGGGACGGCCCCAAGTTCTTCTCCGTCGTGCAGTCGAATCCCTACAGAAGCCCGCGCAAGCAACACGGCCAGCACGGATTATTCAGGTCGCGCAGTGATTGCGAGATCACCATCGATCACAACGTATACGAGAGAGTGGTTTGCGATGAGGTGCAAATGCTGCAGCCGCTCTCCAACGGTGTCAAAGCTGGTGCCAAGACCGAGTCCCGGACGATCCTTCAGCTGATTCAGGAGACGAATTTTATCCATATGTTCGAAGAAGATGAAAGCGACGATGACGAGGAGAGAAACGAGAATAATTTCGTGCGAGATACATCTCGTATCAAGAGAACTACGTTGTTATACGACCACGCCAAGACCATGAAGATCCTGCATGGTGAGCTACGAACATCCAGGGATTTGTTAAAGACCATGTGCAGGCTTGCGAACGCTGAAGAGCTCCAACAGAGATTCTCCGAGACATTCACTAAATTCGTCCATTCGGCTCGTTTCCTAGATTATACCTCGTTGTCGCAGTTGTTCAGCAGAGCTAATAGCATTTGCAAAAACGGGAAGTACGTAACGATCGCTTTGCATGTAATATTTCTTAGATAATACAAATCGAAGAATTGATAATTAAGAAAATAAAACTAATAATTACGACCAACTTGCTTGATATAATTCCAATATTTTTTCTCTAAATTTTACCTTCTCTTGT